GAAAGAAAAAGAAAGCCTGTTGTTCCTTCCTTCACAGCTAGTGCCTCTTCTGTTTGCCCTGTGTCGTGAGGAAACTGGGATTCTCTCATTGTCATTCAAGTTGCTAAAAGGCACATTAAGAAAATCCTAATCATTCAGTGTGGAGTATGCAGAGTTGAAGTTTCTGCTTAGCTAGCTTTCAGCTTTGTAAACATAAGCAGCTGTTAAACATGCTGCCATGTTTAGTCAGTGAAATAGTATGATTTTCTGACACAGGGATGTTATAAAGTATCTGCTTGCAAAATGTTATTCTCACTCCTATCAGAGAAGGTGCTAGTTAAGCAGGAAATAATCTGGCACTTGTGATTAAACTTACTGATAGGCAGTGAAAGTTGCTGGTGTGACTTTTAAGAATTATTTTTTTTCCTGCAGCATTACTTTCAAAGAAGCAGAGTCTGACCTGATTTTTCTGACAGCAAAGCATGTGCTGCACCTTTTTCACAAGTTCTTTCAATGGCTTCTGAAAATATGCAAAGAACTGTTCAAGCGCTTCCAAGCTGCCCTGAAACAGTGTATTTCAAAGTCAGCACTCATTTTATCCCTGTAGGTTTGTCCTTTCTGGGCCCAAGGAATAGGAGATGCACAGTAATTGTGCTGTTGGCAGTGAGGAAGTAAAGGGTGCTGCTATTGCTATATCAGTCTTGGACTAAAATAATAACCCACATAGGAAACCACAAGAATGCTGAAAAATATTCTGTCTCGCTGTCCTTGTACCACTTCTAAGCCCTTGGTCATCCTGATAACTTCAGCTTTGTAAACGTGTGGCTGTAGGCAATTGAATATTTTGCAGTAAGAGAACTGTCTGCCTTGATCCCAAGAACTCTAGACGCTGTACCTGTACTCACACCATTAAAGCACAGTTAATCCATTAATCACCAACACTAGATTACTTGATTACAATAGTTTTGCTCCTGGAAAAATCCATGGCTCATTCAGTCTTGTCCATTTAAAAACTGTTCCATTTAAAATAAGTGTCTTCAACATGCCGTTCAGCGGTGCTGAATAAGCTTTGTCCTGCTTTCTCTTGCCCTAAGGCTGGGTTTCACAGTTTGTATAGGGATCTGGTTTTGAATTATTAATTATTTACACTCTGCTCCCAAGCACTCATTCCAGGCATGGTATAAAATGCCAATCACAAATGCTGCTGTAATTTGACAAACTATATGCATTAGCATCCCCTATGCAGCGCTGATCTGTGTTGGCAACAAACTCTTAAATGTGCTCCCTGGGCAGGTATTAATACCTTGAGATAGAAGGAGATATTTCCCTTGCAGGTTTCTGGAGTAGGTGAGAGAGATCTTGTCTTGGGCATTCATGCAGAGGACTCATTTGTTCTTTCTCTGTCTTAGAGTTTGGAAGGTGTACAGTAGATTGAAGATGAAAAAACTGTTCAGACTGCAGAATGTTGAAGGGAAGATGCTGCCATTTACTATGTAGCTTTTACACAGTGAAACTTCCTAGCGTGTTTGTGTTATGGAGCTTGTTTTAATTGGGAATGTACTTTGCAGTTGTGGCTACTAAATTAATAGAGTTTTCTCTCATGAAATAACTTCTGTTTTGATGAAGCACACCTAAAATGTCTGATTTTCTTTCCATTCCCTCCAGCATTAGCCTGTAACAGTAATTTTAATTGAAGGTGAGTTCCTGATCTTGCAACTGTGATAGAAGCAGCTACAGGTAATACAGAGCTTTTCTGAAAAGCACATAGTCACCTAAGAAGCCTTTTCATTTTCAATTTGTAGTGCTTCTAGCTAGTAACGGCCTAGTTCTAGGCTACTAGCAGCAGTGGGATTTATTCCCACCAAACCTGACAGATGGGGGAGCAAATAATTTGGTTTTCATGTCCTCAGTTTTAAGTTTCCCATAAATCTTTGTAGAATAATATTTTTTTCCAGTTACATAGCAATGGCAGGATTCATGTGGTGAAGAAAACATCTGAAAGAAACATTTCTTTCCCCATTAGCATTGCTTCTGATGCCTCCATATTTGGAGGTTGGACGTGGGACAAAAAAAGGTTGAAATAGGCAAAGAGATTATTTATCTTATGCTGCAGTTGGAGAAAAGCCTTTCAGGATCACAGTAACAGTAAGACTGAGATCCAGATCCCTCTATTTCTCTCCTGTAGAACATGCTTGGGCAATTTTCCTGAACCTTTCGGTCTCCACTTCAGCATGTTTCAAAAAACCTTAGAGACCCAAACGACTGATGCTCAGAAGGAGAAATGGCTGCCTCTGGTCCGTGGAGTCAAGATAATTGGCACCTACGCCCAAACCGAAATGGGACATGGTTAGTTCCCTTCAGGGATCAATGGGTAACCTCTTTTCTGTAACTCCAGTTTGTAAATTGATGATGCCCCCTAAGTGAATCTAAAAGGGGAAAGGTAAAATAGTTTGGTTAACAATTGATGTTTCCTGCCCTATAGCTAGACAGCTGCTTTGTTTCACATCCTAACAATCACAGAGTTAGATTTGGTCTTTTCCAGAATGCACCTCTTAGCTGATCACTGACTTTGTAGTTCTTTACCTTTGTTTTAAGATGAGGAGGTTGTTCTAAGCCCCAGGAGTCTGAATTTCACTTGAACTGATTGGAACATGTCAGTCAGCAGTACTGTGGTTTTTATTTTTGCCTGAATTTGGGGCATTCTTTGTGCACAACAGGCCTGCATAAACAGGTCAGAAGTATATGTAGCATGGTGAGATTGTGCACTTTTGTTTTTGAAAGTAAGGTATGTTTTGCCCCGAGCACTTTTCTGCCAGATGCTACTCTGTTGCAGCTGTACGACTTCATGGAAAGATCTTGGTTTCAAAGAAGAAAAAACATCTTATTCCTACTATTGTTGAAAAAGACTTTCACTTCAAATGGAAGAATGTTTAATGGATCAGAAAACAGTCTTTTAGCCCAGCACCTGGAATTATGGCTGTTACATACCAGGAAGGCCAGTTTAACAAACCAAAGACTGCAGTGCTTGTGTGGCATCTAAACTTGGAAAGCATGATATGTACAAGTCTGGACAGTTGCTAAAGTCAGATGGTAATGCCGATTGCCTGGCTGTTCAGTTACAGCTACTTGTGGTAGCTGAAACATTTGTAGAAGATGCAAAGGAGGAAATCCTGTCATCTGCTTTGTTTGAGAGATGGAATGAACAAACCTAGCTCGACGCTGAAGCTGAGACAACCGGATGGCAACAATAAATGCCTGCTAACCTTGTTTGCTTTTTCACACAAACTTCTTTAAATGAGATGCACATCCACACCAAAGTGATTTGTTTTACTTGCTATTTCACATTAGATCATTGCACTTTCTTGCCTGGTGATGGTCTGGTTTGCTGGTAACTATCATGTTGTTTGATGGTAAAATTAGTATTTTTACACTTAAGAGAACTCATACGGTGATAGTATGGTAAAGTAAATATACTTTTCATGCTGAATAATTAAAATGCAACCATTTGACGCTCTTGCTGTGAATGTTGAGTATCTAATTGCTTCTTCAGTAAAACTGCTGCAGTAATTGCCACTGAGCTCCGCTGAATTTAATCTTGACATTTAGAAACTGGTGATGGGGAAACAGACCTCTGGATTATTGAACTGAATCCTAGCCTGGATGGGTAGTTACTCAGTTTTACCTTAGTGAGTACTTGATAGCCCCTGTTGATTTTAACCTGTTCCATAGCGAATAAGTCTCTTGCAAAAATAAAAGATGATTGAATTTAGTTGTAGGTGTCTGAGAATATCAAAGGACAGAACTACAGTTCTTAGGAAGCTCTAGGGATAGAGCTAGTTCATATTAACCTGTGTTTAGAGGTAACACAAGAATGCATTCTACCCTCTTTGATAAGAATGCCAACTGAGTTTGAGCTCAGATCAGTGCTCTTTCCATAATGCATATTTCTTTTATATATATTCCTGGTAAAGACCAATTACATTATTTCATACATAAATGTGCCAGATGTACAGCCTTTGTACAGAAGGTACTGATCCTCAATTTATATCACCACTATTTTAATACTCGGTGACCAATATTTCAAAATTTAATGAGCATTGAATTCTTTACATAAAAAAACAAACCTTAATAGACCACTTAACAGTGGTGTTTGACAGAACTTGGAGGAAGAGTAGTTGTAATGAAACATGTTTAATTGGAGAGACTTTGTGCTGGTGATTTAGAGGTTGAAAAATGTTGGCTTTTGTGCCAAGTTGTTGATGTTCACAGCTTTGACTTACTCATGCAGAGCACTGTCCTTTTAAGAGAGCTTTTAAAAATAGCAAAAGTTGAAGGGAGTTGGGTTGGAATGTAATATATGCTAGTTGTGTCTGATCTTTAATAAAAACAAAGTAGATAGTACAGAAAGTTAGGACTTTCCTTTTTTTTTAAAAAAAAAAGTTCATTGAAAACCTAGCTCATTCAACTGGATAAACTGGGACTTCTACCAGGTTCTACCCTCAAACCATAGGGGAAAAAAAAAGTGGACTTCATATCTTTGGGTGAAGGCTTGCTTCATCCAGCCAGATCACATCTTCAACAAACTGACATTCTGACTCAGCCCATTTAACTTAGGGATGCTCTGGTTTCCAAACCATAGCGAAGGTTTGGTCTTTCTTTTGGTTTGGATTAATCCTTTTTTTTTTTTTTTTAAATCAATCGTGGTGCACCAAAAGTATGAGAATGTTGCAAATGCATTTTATGTATGATTAGAAAAAAAAAATGCATTGTGGCATGTTTATTTCAGAGTAAGTGTAATTTCTTATTATTCAGGTCTGAGAAAAGGACAGTGCTCTGGCTTTCTAAAATACACTTGCTGAATTCCGATTTACACATGAATCTTTTTTTTTTTCTTTTTGTCTCTTCCTGAATCTCCACCATGAATCCTCATGCTTGCTTCCCTCCCATAACATTCCCTTCATGCTCCCATCCCATGACACTTCACAGCTTTGTTCATCGTGGACGTCCTGAGCCTCTGGACCTTCATCTGGGCATGTTCCTCCCCACCCTTCTCACCCAGGCAACCCCAGAGCAGCAGGATCGCTTCTTCATGCCTGCCTGGAACCTGGAGATCATTGGCACTTATGCCCAGACTGAAATGGGCCATGGTACAGTACATTCACTAAATGCTATTTCTAAGAATGGCTTTGTGTACGAAGGATTCCCCTGCCTGGGAAAAATGGTGTGTGTTTACCCCACAGTTTTTACACATGCAGTTGTGGCTGTAGGGGAAAGTGGACTGCCTCTGAAATCTGTAATAGATCATAATGCCACATGCTGCTTGCCCTTTTTTCTCCTACGGGAGAGTTTGATGTCTGCAGTTCTATATATGAACATAGTGAGTGCTCCTCTTGTGCCATTCAAAGCAGTATAGGTTATTGCAGATGGCTATGGTGATGTCAGTTTGATGACATCTGTTCATTTCTACATACACTTTCCAGTGTGGTTTTTGCTTTGCTCTACTTAATGTGCAGTGTGAAGACAAAAGGACAGAGCTTTAAGGTACTGAAAGAGATGCCAAAAAAGTAGAGTTGCTTGTCACCTTGGGACTGACCTTGGATCAGAGAACATGTGGATGACTTGGTTCCAATGCTCACGTTTTGTGGGGAGCTTTATTCCCCCAGTTCTTTAGTTCACTCCCATGTGTTCTTTTTAATTGGACTGTGAAATGTTCGTTGTTTTTTTTTAATAATTCTGTCTCAAGTAGACTTTGTTCTTCGTTGCTATTCTTTTGTTTTCAAGTTTTGAAATGGATTTTGATAACTCCAGCAGTATTGTGATTGCAACACTTCTAATCCAAGTTTCAAAGGGAGGATATTATGCCTTGGGAAACTTTAATTTTGACATCTGAGAGTTGCAGATGAGATTTACTTTCTAAAAATGCACAGGATTCACCCTTGTGCTGAAGTGAAATGTAGAGACTGTATGAAGCATAAAGTAACTGCAAGTCTGTGGAGAATCTCTTGCAACTAGTGAGGTTTGAAGATCCTTTACCAGCAAAGTAAGCCTGTGTTAAGCTGCCTGTGGAAGTCTACCATTAACTCCATGCTTTGGAAATGCGGTTGCATCAAGGTGATGTCTTTTTTCGTGTTGAAGCTCTTGTGTAGAGTCTCTGGCTCTGTCTTGCTCCATCAGTTCAGACAATCAGGAGTATTCACAGCTTGTCTAGTTTAAGCAAATAGGCCTGGTGATTTATTTTAATTTTTTTACGCATGCAGGGATAATGCCACTGCTGAGACAGGTGTGTGTGAAGTAAAGAGTTGGGGGCAGAAGACAAGGACTGTTCCTGGAATTACCTTCATCTTTTTTGCAGTCTCTTCATCTACCTGCATCAGTACCCTAGCATATGCACGCCATTACTTGCTGTCTTGGAGCTATGGATGATCTCATTTGGGAGAAACTGCTCCATCAACTGAGGAGAGTGTAGGCCTGATGAGGGAATGAAAAGATGATGGGCACTACTTATTTCATCTTGTGGCTGAAAAGTATATGATATTTTGCAATTTGATCAGATTGCGGTTTTAGTGAAATCCAGGTGAACGTGTTTTTGTGGACCTTTTTAACAGAGAAAGGGCTTCTGGTGTGTGATAGCAAAAAGGTGTCAGATTGGAGGTGCTTGGAAAACTAATCTTAGACCACTGGGGGAAAAAACCCAATAGGTTTTCTGAGAGTTGACTTCAGGTCCCAGAATGTGGTCTGACTCTCACTTGTTCTTCCTTAATTGGTTGACATTTAGTCCTTTATGTAGCCTAAAAGAAAAGCTAAAATTTGTACATTACTACTGGAGTTCAACTTTCCATTGTCCAATTCTGTCCTTGTCTCTGTTTTGTGACTGACCTTCTGCCAAAACAATGTGTTTGCTTATTTTCAGGAACTCATCTTCGGGGTCTAGAAACTACAGCTACTTACGACCCTGCTACTCAGGAATTCATCCTCAACAGCCCCACTGTGACCTCTATTAAGTGGTGGCCAGGTGGACGTAAGTGCATCACTGTGTGTCTAAATCTGGAAGATGCATGGAAAAATTTAGGGAGGTGATGTCATGTGCGTTATATCTACAGAATGATGATTGAAAGTGGATCCAAAGAGTTGGCTGAAAGGCAGTTACTCTTGCACAACAAGTAACGGATTTATCACAGCCTACTAAAACTTTGGATTATCTGTGTGCTCTGAATTGCTTCTCAGAGCCATTCACACTGTATGGATTTGGTGTAATTTTTGATTGGTTGTATCAAAATCTTTATACTTCCTTCAGCTCCACTGGCAGGTTTGCCAAGGACTTGGTATTGCATAGTCAAGAGTATCGTATTGTGCAACTTTTGTTGACTTGAGCAACATTATTTGTCTAGCTGTAGAATTCAGATGGTAACCAGTGTTGTAAATCTGCTTTCCTAATGTGTCATATGGTTAAGGTAATCTCAGATCCTGCTTTAAGGAGAGAGATTCTGTGTATACAAGTATGTTTACTGTTTGGTTTTTTCCCCCTTCTGACTCCCACTCCTTTTGCAGTTGGAAAGACATCGAACCATGCCATTGTTCTGGCTCAGCTCTACACTCAGGGCCAGTGCAAAGGGCTGCATGCCTTCATTGTTCCCATACGGCAGCTGGGCACCCATGAACCTTTGCCAGGTAAAAATTAATGTTAAGAGTTTAGCCCTCATGGAATATGTTAGATGTTTCTCACCAGCTATATACAGCTGCATGTGTCTTGTTAATTACATGGCTTATTTCACTAGCTGATTTCAGAGAGTAGATGGTAGGTCACAGGGCTTAAAGGAGTCTTTCTTATGACTGAGCTACCACTAAATCATCTTTCATGTCACACTCTCAATGTGTGAAGGTTAGTCTGGCATTTGATTCTGTCCCAGTGTTTCCCAACTAAGCATTCTGTGAGGCAGCATGTCGTCCTACTTCGGGAAAGGGAAAGAATACCTGTCATCATTCTCTAGCTAGAAGTGAGCTGGGTGATCTTTAGAGAGAGCTCCCGCAGTGACTGGATAGTAGGACTGCATGTAAATTATGAAGATCATCATGTTTTGATGTCCACTTTTCCATCAAAGAGATTCAAGTCCTTATTAGCTGTTAATCTTAACAATGCCAGAACTTGCTAGAAAACTACAGAGTCTCTTTATTGGAGAAGGCTCGAACATCTCATGTGGTGTGTAGTTCCTGTTTCTTAATGTGAGTGGCTTTTTCTGTGGCAGGTATTACAGTGGGCGACATTGGGCCAAAATTTGGTTATGATGAAATGGATAACGGCTACCTGAAAATGGACAACTTCAGAATTCCTCGCGAAAACATGCTGATGAAATATGCCCAGGTAAAGCGAGTTTCAGCATGTACTGTTAGAAATGGACACTTCAAATGCTTTTGTGTGGTTGAATAATGTACCAACAAGATTGTAGGTTGCTTGTAAGTGCTACTTGTTTTAGAGCTTAAGATGTGAACGTGTAAAAGGGAGGAAACTTTAACAATCAACAGGCTATATTGTTTTTTGTTTGTAGGTTGAACCAGATGGCACCTATGTGAAACCACTTAGTGACAAGCTAACCTACGGCACCATGGTATTCATCCGATCTCTCATTGTAGGCGACTCGGCTCGCTCCCTGTCCCGGGCTTGTACCATTGCCATCCGCTATAGTGCAGTGAGACACCAGTCTGAGCTAAAGCCAGGGTAAGTGCAGTGAAACAAAAGAGCAGCCTAAGTGCTGAGGGAAAATTCCCAAATACTGGAGGGAAGAGGGACTGTGGTTGATGTTGTTTGCTTTGGCACTTGATAGTTTCAAAACACTGTTTCATCTTGGGAAGTGAGTTATCTTTTGTTCTTGACTGCCAAAATGCCTTCTCCCTGCCAGAGGCTTTTGCTGTGTGGCCTTAGATAGTCTGGCTTGATATGGATGCAGCTTGTACTACCCAAGTGTGGAAGCTACTTAGAGTTGAATAGGACTTCTAGGCAATTTGCTAGCCACTGGCATGTTAACTGATCTGTACTTTGCTCTAGAGAACCAGAACCCCAGATCTTGGACTATCAGACCCAACAATACAAACTCTTTCCTCTCCTGGCAACAGCATATGCTTTTCACTTTGTGGGAGCCTACATAAAAGACACCTATCATCGCATTAGTGGAGACATCAATGAAGGGGATCTGAGTGAGCTGCCAGAGGTACTGTGTCCTCTGTGGATTTTATGTAAAGTTTCTTTACAGCATGGGAGAAGAGGCATCAAGCCTTTTTGGCTCTCATTCCTGAGACATCTTGTAATTCTTTAGATTCAGAGATCCCAAGCCCGGTATGTGCTGATGACTTGTATTTCTTTATTTGCACTATTTGTTTAGCAGCCCTTTACAAAAAAATGGGGAGTAATGCACAGTGAGAAAGTGACTGTGAATATATTTTTTTAAAAAGGTGAATTTCCAGAAATGATGGCATATTGCTTGGGAGTGGAGTTAAGACTGGTCTTATGCTTGTGCTGTAGCTTCTCGATTGTTCTTCCAAGTCACTAGGGTAGAACCGGTGTGTTGATCAAAGGTATCAATACTATACTGAGAGGTTAGGGTTGTAAAATATCAGTTTTCAGTTAAGGATTCTGTCTGACAACCTAATGTGACAATAGGCAATTGAAAACAGTTCTGGACATAATGCATAGAGACAGAAAGGATGGGGTACTCAAAAGAAATTGTTACATGCGTAGAGGCTTTCATATAAATAGTTCAGCTCAGGAAGGAGGCCTTACAAGAAAAACAAGACTATGTGGGACACTGGAAGGATGGTGTTGACTCTACTTTTTTCTGGCGGCTGCAGTACTTAGCATGTATGTGCACAAGCTGAGAATGGAAAATAAAAAAAATCTAAACTGACTTTGCTTTTGTCCATCAGCTCCACGCACTGACAGCAGGGCTGAAGGCATTCACTTCCTGGACTGCCAATGCTGGTATTGAGGAATGTCGGATGGCATGTGGTGGGCATGGCTATTCCCGCTGCAGTGGCAACACATTCACCCCATCCTGCACCTATGAGGGAGAAAACACAGTCATGATGCTGCAGACAGCTAGGTATGGTAGCTTCTGTCCACAGACACTCTTGCCTTGGCATGACAATCTTTGTAACTGAAGTGGTGAGCAGAAGAGTATCCTGTAGTACCATGAAACTGGTGTCTCATGTTTCCGTCCCTTGCCCTATTTTTGATGGAAAAGTATATGCCTACAACTGTTCTTTGCTAGTCTGACCCTAGGTACTATGACTTCTCTCCATTCAAACAAGTCATGAGTAAGAGTTGCTATTTGTTGCTCTGTTTTCAGGTTCCTCATCAAAAGCTACACCCAAGTTAGTTCTGGGCAGCAGGTTACTGGCATGGTGTCCTACCTTAACGATCTCTCCAGGCAACGCATTCAGCCACAGCATGTGGCTGCCAGGAGTGTGACTGTGCGCATCAACGATCCAGTCAGCTTGGTTGAGGCCTACAAAGCACGTGCTGCCCGGTGAGCTCATGCTTACTAGACTGAGCCAAGCACCAATAAAACAGTGTGTCTTGGGAGATAGTAGTGATGTGCTGCCCTGTTAATGTTAGATTCTCAAGGTGTGGTTTGCAAAGCTTTGCTCCATGTGTTGCTTTCAAGAAGTTGACACACTTTACTAGGTTGGGTCAGTGTTAATTGCTTTCAGGTTACAAGAGGCTACACAGAACCTATGCATAGCCTAGTTACTCTGCTCTGTTCCATTTTGAACTGTCTTTTTCTTATTTAAATGTAAAGTATATTTGAGCACACAAATACCAACATTGTTCAAACTGCTCAGAGATCTATCTGGAGATAAACAATCCTGATGTTAAAGCCTGTTGTGAAGGAAGTGTGACAGTAGAAGAGATACCTACATGTGAGTAAGTATTCAAGCACCACGTACGTGCTGTCAAATGTCATCTTACCTCTCTGTAGCTGTGTTCTAGCTGCTGCAGTGAAGATAGGGGGTTTGGAGCCACAGCTGCTCATGCCAGCCAGTGTATTCAGTTGTGGCACATGACCTCTGAGTTCTTCAACATGTTAGATCAAAATTCATATGAATTCGGTGTACGTAATCTTGTTAATGTGGTGTTATTGCATAACCTGGTTTTCTTCCTTTTATGAAATAGGCTTGTAGAAGCGGCAGCAAAGAATTTGCAAACTGAACTGAACCACAGAAAGAGCAAAGACGATGCCTGGAACAGAACTTCTGTTGATCTTGTGCGAGCATCTGAGGTCAGCGATGTGCCTGATAAAGAAATATGCTATAAGAGCTGCTCATCTCTTCATGAACCTGATTCACCTTCCTTTTGTTTCTTGTAGGCGCACTGTCACTATGTGATAGTGAAGCTTTTCACAGCAAAGCTGTCTGAGATCAGTAATGCAGCTGTCCGTGCTGTCATGACTGATCTGTGTCTCCTGTATGCACTCTATGGGATCAGTAAGAATGCAGGGGATTTCTTGCAGGTTGGTGTCTTTCTCCAACACTTTAAATCTCTAGAGCCAGAGTCATTGTTTGCAAAGATGCTTTAAATGCAGAGTTGCATGGATGTTTAGGCATAAGTTCTTGACTGTTGACTTCCAGAAGGCTGTTAGCAGTGCAGGTCTGATGGAAGGCTCTTGTCAAGTTTCCCTTGTGACCTGCCGGAAGCAGAGTTGGATGATAAATGGTAACATGGCATCTGTCTAGGTTAGCTTAAATGTTTTCCAGTTGGTGACCAGGTGTTGCATGTTAAAAACCAAGGAGTTAATAAAGGAGATGTTAGACGTGATCTGAGAGCTGTATACATTTGTAAGTTAGTGCACAAAGGGGGATATTATACTCCAAATCTTAACCCATCCTTCAGTGAATGGGTTTAAATTCTCAGGCATTACTTCCCTTCATTCTTTCAGTTTGAGAATGTATTTGTGTGGCAGTGTTTTGTTTTGCCTTCAGGCAGATGTGGTATGTTTTGTCTTCCTATTTTCCTCTTTGCTGCTTACCAAAAAGTTCCCTGAAACCAGGAGGAGTTTAATATACACATAGGCACATTCTTCAAGAAAACTTGCCGCTGAAGTTAACGTACAGGCACTCTAAAGAATGAGTCTCCCATCAAAGATTAAATAGCTAGGCAGTATGGTGGGCTACGCTAGGCATCTCCTTTTCCTTGTACACTATGGCAAATGCCAATTTGATTACTTAGCAGAAAACCAACCCTAGTGTTTTATGAACTGCTGCATTTCTGTGGGAAGGAAGGCTGACCTATGTTAGACCATAGGGGAAGGGAAGGTTCTTGTGACTTGCAAGAGACTATCTTCTGATAATCTCTTTTTTTTCCAAGGCGAGTATTCTGACCGATGCCCAAATTACTCAAGTGAACCAGCGTGTGAAAGAGCTCCTGGCTATAATTCGTCCCAACGCAGTAGCGCTAGTAGACTCCTTTGACTTTCATGACGTTCATCTTGGATCTGTGCTTGGCCGGTATGATGGCAATGTCTACGAGAACATGTTTGAGTGGGCAAAGAAATCCCCACTGAACAAAACACAGGTAAATAAACTTATTTCTTCATCTTTAGGTCACATGTGTCCATAGAAATAACCCAAATTAGGGGTTTTAAATTTTGATCCAGTGATCTCAGCACGTAATTGATGGAGGGGGGAGAAAAGTCACTAGTGGTAGTGGACCCAAACGAGCAACTTCTGCTCCTCTGCTTCCAGCATACTTTCTTCAGTTACTCTCCCATGTGTACCTCAAGCGCATCCCTGTGGGATACTTTTGAGTTTCTCAGTTGAGGGAGGAAAGCATACTCTCCCTAGAGAAACAATTGAATAATCTCATTGAATTTAGAAGAAATATCACTAGCTGTTAATTCTGCTTAGCAACAGTAGCCTTACCTTTTTTTCTGGCAAATCTCTCAATGCCTGCAGGCAGTAGCAGTGACTGGAGAAGAAAATAAATTGTTTTCATGTAGTACTTCAGCATCAGGTATTGCATATCTGCCCTAAGGCTGTAGCTGCAGCTGAGCTAATAAAAATGAGCTGAGAAGAGTCTGTGTCATTCTTCCATCAGCCAAAACAAAACTCTAAATCCTGTCTCAGTGGTCTTTACTGCCTTTATTTGATTTGGACAGACTATCTCCTACCATGGGCTGCCAGAAACTGCGATTGTAGTTAAATCCCACCAGAATTTACTCATTTTTTTTGCTTCTTAAGTCAGTGGGGCTTAGGAGATTCATTACAGTCCCCTTAGGAGACCTCTGCCAGTTTTCTTTGAATTAAAATGCCAAAGAATTGTCTGTATGGGTATTAGATGGCTTAGACTCTTTTTTTTTTTTCTTACAAGAGAGGTAGTGGGGAACCTATTTGTTTTGGCTTAAATTCTCATCCTTTGTGTCATATAGACACTCAGATACAGGACTTAGCTGGCTGGTCTTAAATCCTCAAAGTGCCTCTGATTCAAATTTCCTTACTATAAAAACACACTGCAAGATCTAGTTTAGCAAGAGCTAAAACTGTTATAAAGCTCAGGCCTTACCTTGTTGTAACCACTGTCTTGTCCTCTTACAGGTTCATGAGTCTTTCCACAAACACCTGAAGCCGATGCAAGCCAAGCTGTGAAGTCCGCTGGTTTTTAAAAATGCACACTTTTCCTGACCTGAAAACTGGGTGTTTGCATCCTTTCTTCAGGCATCTAAATCAAACCTTTCAAATCCTGGTAGCTGTAGGACAGTGAATAATTGTAGCCTTTCTTTCCACTTTTTATAAATCGAGGAGGTGTTTGGGGGAGGGTGCATAGGGATCGATGCCTGTTTTTAAAGTGCAATTATAATGGTAAAATTAACCTTTTAAAAATCTGGGAAAGCTTTATGGATTCATACAAGGATTGCTTTTGTGAAGCTGCTAACTAGAGAGAAGTTACTGTCAACTGGAAAGGTAGCAGGATTTTACTACTAAGTAGTTAACAGCCCTCAGGTAATAGCTTCTAATGAGCAGTTATGTCCTCCGCGCAAAAAGCAGCAATGTCTTGATTTATTTTTTTTAAAGATTATTGCCACCTCTCTCCTTGCTTGGCAAATACTTGTTACCTAAAGCCTCCTGCGTAGTTTTGTGCACATGAATTTGCATGTTGCACTACTTTCCTGATGTAGCTGGGAAGTAAATACCCATCCTTCTCTGGAGCTCTGCTTCGTTCATCTTTCCAGAAGACATCTTCATGTTTTCCAGTACATCCTTCTTTCACCACCCTGCAGAAACTCCTTTTGCCTGCATGCCATCTCCAGCACGGGCACCTTACTCTCTGTTAATAGGGAGTCAAAGGAGAGTATAGTGATGCTGCTCTGAGGCAAAAAACAAGTAGTAATAATCAGCCAAGTGCTGATAATAGATGTTCTGCCCTTCTTTTAACTGTTTGTATTTTTGTAGCACTATCTCAAAGCACTTTACAAATGTTGATTATGGTGAATTGATGTGCAAAACCACATGTAGTGATAAAAACTGCAAATTTGACCTGAAATGATGAAGCCAGTATTTGAGGGCAGAAATCAGTTGACCAAGGTCCTTGGGTCTTCAGATTGTTCTGGAATGTTCTTCTGGTTTTTAAAGGCATTCTTCAAGAAAATTACAATCCCATATGAAGTGTCCAGTTGTTTTTCCTACCCATGCATTTCCAAGGAGCTTTCTCTGATTTGCTTAATTTTGTTTTCATATTGACTTGCACAGTGCTGTCTGGATTTAACAGGTGAAAGATTTAGCTTTTAACAACCTCCTGATGCCCAGTGAAATCAGTGCAGCTATGACTAAGCAAAATCATTGCTGTTTTTCAACACCAATAACTGTCCAGTAACAATAAAACCTCCCTTCACAACAGATCAGAGCAACTTTGAGCTTAAAATAGTAAAAAGCTTCAGCATAAACCCAAATCCTGCAGTTCTGAGGCAACATCTGAGAAGCTGGTTTTTGTCACAGCTTTGGTATCTGTTAGTCTCTCATTTTGGATGTTTTCATGGATGAGTTTTTTGTGGCACTAACAATGATCAGATACAATGTTTGGCTCCACATGCAGTAGCTGAACAGAAAGAAATGTTTAATTTTAAATAAAATAATCAAACTTGCCTTTTGGCTGCTGAGTCTTTCAGGTGGAATGGAACCGCTGTTATTCAGAATACCAAAGGAGGGAAAGGGCTTTGCCTTCCATTTGTTCGATAGAGCAGACTGCTGACCTGGGGAGGGATGCATGATGGAGGAGCAGGTTAAAAATATGTTAATGAGAATAGTACTAGTTAAGTGTATGTACAGATTTAATAAATTACAAAAAAAGTGTTTTCAGACAAAATGTCTGGTTTTTCATGCATTGCCTTCAGTGGATCTTGTATAAAGTAATGGGTGAAGTAGAATGAAGCATTCAGATGACCTTAAATTAGTTGGATTTAATTTGTCATTCTGGCTTTGCTCTGCAGTAGCGTAGGGCAGCGAACCCAGTCCAGCAGCTGTCCCTGCCTCTGCTGCTCACAACC